AAAAAAAAAAAAAAGATCTATCACTTAAGCCCAAGAGTTTGAGCTTGCTGTGAGCTGTGACGCCACAGCACTCTACCAAGGGTGACGTAGTGAAACCCTGTCTCAAAAAAAAAAAAAAATCTAGGCTCAGGGTCTGCAGCTCAAGTGGCTAAGGCGCCAGCCACATACACCAGAGCTGGCAGGTTCAAATCCAGCCTGGACCTGCCAAACAACAATGACAGCTACAACCAAAAAATAGCCGGGTGTTGTGGTGGGTACCTGTGGTCCCAGCTACTTGGGAGGCTGAGGCAAGAGAATCACTCAAGCCCAGGAGGTGAAGGTTGCTATGAACTGTGATGCCATGGCACTCTACCCAGGGCAACAGCTTGAGAAGCTCTGTCTCAAAAAAAATCTACTTTAAAAAATACATAAGTAGCCTGTAGTTCCAGCTACTTGGGACTCTTGAGGCAGGCAGATCACATGAACCCAGGAGTCTGAGGTTGCTATGAGCTAGGCTGACACTATGGTACTCTAGCCCAGGTAACAAAGTAAGATTCTGTCTCATAAATAAATAAACACACACACAAATACATAATACAACCTGCTTTAATTAATGCAGGAATGAATGAACAAATGTGAAAAAGCCTTTTTAAAAGAATTTTTTGGTTTTAAGACAGTCTCACTTTGTCCCTCTCAGTAGAGTGGCATGGCATCACAGCTCACAGCAACCTCCAGCTCTTGGGCTAGGGCAATTCTCTTGCCTCAGCCTCCCGATTTGCTGGGACTATAGGCGCCTGCCATAATGTCCAGCTATTTTTGTTGCAGTTGCCACTACTGTTTTAGTTGGCCAGGGCTTGGTCTGAACCCATCACCCTCAGTATATGGGGCCAGCGCCCTACCCACTGGGCCACAGTAATCACTACCCTTAAAAGAATTTTTCTATAATACAAAGCATATATGAGAAAGTTCACATTTTAGTTCTATTACTGTGATCATAAGACAACCTACTTCTGGGCTTCACGCCTTCCATCTATTATAATGGGGTTAATAAAATCAACCTCTTAGGTAGTTGTGGTATGCTGTTAGGTACATAGTAGGAGTCATTAAATGATGGCTATCTTCATTACTATGGAAGTTGGTGGTGAGGTACCTACCTCTCAGGATTCTTGATCTCTTCAGTGACATAGTTGAGGGTGTCCCAGCCCGAGTAAGAGAACAAAGCTGAGTACAGTGCCAAGGCAATGTCACCCATTGCAAATGATGAATCTTTAAAGGAATCCTCAAAATGAGTTGAGGCTCCTAGAACCCAAGAGAGAGAATATTGGAAGGCAGAGGATTAGTAGCCCATTCTCCCAACTTTAAGGCAACTGAATAAAGAAATGGAAGAAAATGGAAATAGGGAAGTGGCTTAGAACACTCTTGGCAGCAAGAGTACCAGTGAAGGAACATGGAACAGAAGAGAGCCATCTACAAAGATGATCTGGAATGCAGGGAACAGGATGGATGGGGATCTCGACAGGAAGGACCGCCATGGAGGAGAATGGCTGAGGAATAGCTGCCTGCTTCCTGCCCCCTTTCTAACACCAGACAGAGCTGATACAGGGTAGAGGAAGAGCAGAGCTCAGTATACCCAGGTCAACAGTTGTAGGTTAGGTATTTGAACCTGGAAACTGGGGGAAAGCAGTACAAAAAATTCATTTTTTTGTTTGTTTGTTTTGTTGCAGTTTGGCCAGGGCTGGGTTTGAATCTGCCACCCTCAGTATATGGGGCTGGTGCCCTACTCACTGAGCCACAGGCACTGCCCAGGAAATTCATTTCTGATTTTGCTCACTCCTAAGAGCAGAACAGTTAGAACCATAGCATTGGACCCACCAATCTGCAAAGCTAACTACCAGGGCATGGCTGTCAGCCATTTTACCAAGATCAGCCTCTTCTGGGATGCAACAAGCACAGAAGTTAAAGGACAGACTTTGGGGTCAGTCTGCCTGGGTACAAATTTTAGCTCCTTTACTTACCACTAGAGTCTTGGGTAAGACACCTAATTCTATAGGCTGTTTGCTCATCTATGAAATGGGAATAATAATAGTATCTACTAAATAAGGTTGTGAGGATCAAATGAGACAATGCACAAAGAGCACTTAGAGGAATATGCCTCACAGAAAATGCTTAATCCATGTTACTGACATTAATATTATTTCTTACCCTGGCCGAGTTTAACAATGCCTGCAATGATGACTGCGATCAGTGCCAATACTTTGGCATATGTGAAAATGTCTTGTACCAGGGTTCCCCACCTGACATAGGCACAGTTAATGAAGGTTAACAGACCTGAAAAGAAAAATAATACTGATTGGTGACTGAGCCTTAGACTCCAAGCAATTTTCCCAGTACCAGGCACCAAGATAGACCCTTTGGCCAAAGACAGATCCTCTGACCTGCTTAACATTGGAAACCTGCCCCAGAACAGCCTCACCACTATCATTCAGGGGTACTTGCTGAGCACTGGGTACACAGCACCACCACACTCCCTACCCCAGCACCTTATGTGGGTAGTTGTCTTTGTAGACAAAGACGAAGTGACTGTCTGTGGATTTCCTTACATACAAAAGACACCCAAATTCCCAATCACAGCAGGGGGAGGCAACTGATAGCTGTGCAAAATTAGTGATGTATTCAGAGCCAAGAGGGGGAAAAAATCAGTCTTTCCCTTCTACCCTCCCATTCCACATAGGCTCTAAGACACAGCACTTTGACTCTGTGGTATTATTGTTAACCTTGAGGAGTCCTGTTGTAACTTAGCCCATGTTTGGGCCAGCAAGCCAGGATGTATGGAGAAGGATTAGAATGGGGGCCAGACTTCCTGTCCGCTGTCTGGCAGCTTAACTGCTTGTTTTTGTGCTTGGAAGAATTCTTACACAGCTCAGAGCAGTTCCTGTAGAATGGCAACATGCATTTTTCCTGACTGAACGATGTAGAAGAGCCACAAACATTCCTCAAGTCCTTCTACCCTGGGGGTAGAGACAATACATTTACCTGGATAAGCTTAAGTTGACAGATCACCTTAGAGCCAGGGTTCTTAACCAGAGCCTCCACAGGGCCCAAAATTCTTTTGCAAAGTGTGTGTATGAGTACATATATGCATTATGCATCTGTCTCTCTTTCCCATTTTTTTTAAGAGATAGGATGTCACTCTGTCATCCAGGCTGGAATACAGAGGCCCAATCATAGCTCACTACAGCCTCAAACTCCTGGCCTCAAGCAATGCTCTTACCCCAGCCTTCCAAAATGCAGGGATTATAGGCAGTAGCCACCGTGCCTAGACTCACATATGCATTTTTCTATGAAAAGAGTTCCTGCCTTATTTTAATGAACATAGTTTTTTCATCAGAATCTCAAAGAAATCCAGCGTTGAGGAACATAGCAATAAAAATTTAAAAATTAGCTAGGTATGGTGATGTACACCTGTAGTTCCAGCTACTAGAGAGACTGAGGCACAAGGACCACTTAAGCCCAGGAGTGTGAGGTTGCTGTAAGCTATGATGATGCCACTACACTCCAGCCTGGGCAACAAAGTGAGATCCTGTTCCCCAGGACCACAAAAAAAGAAATCTCAGAGAAATCCACTACCCTTCCCCCAAAAGTTACAACTTACTACCTTAGAAGAAGAAATTCGAAAATAGAACACCACAAGTATCGTGAGGTTCTGACCAGTAGCCCCAGGATGTGGTGGGGAAGAAAGATGGAAACAAGAATACAGATACTCAGCAGAATGTTCCTTGGATCCCCCACTAAGCTCTAAAGCGGACAGGCAGGCACACTCACACCACTGGGAATCACATCGCTGCTCCCTCCTTCCCAGTTCAACAACTGGTACACTACAAAGAGAGCTTAACTCTAATTTCTTTTTCTTTTT